ATATATATATATATATATATATATATATATATACATAGGCTATACATATATAGGATTTTATATATATATATATATATATAGTTAGAAGCAATTTGATTACATTATGCTGCTTCTGTGAAGAGTCGTTGAAAAGTATCTAAACTAAACTTTTGAATGAACTGTATTATTAGGTACTAGGCTATTATGATGTTATATATTCTGGACTCTTGAAATGATAATTTAGCAACAGACTAGGCTACTGCGGGGAAAAATACAATTGAAAAATTACTTTCTTTCTTTAAAATATTTTTTTCCTCAGAAGAACTAAAAGAATCGTAAATGGAACCGGAATCTTTGAGGGGAATCAGATTAAGAATCACGAAATTCTTTAGAACACTTTATCAGAACGAACGGTCACCCGGAAGTGCGTGTGCGTGACACTGACTAGCGCGCAGTCAATGAATATTTGGAGTAGTTAACTAGTGGGAGCCACAAACTAACTTACTACGCCACATAACTCGGAAGCGTGTGATTGCCTCGCTTGCTGGAATGGCTCCGTTACTGAGCTGGTCATGTAGACCGCTGCTTCTACTGCCTCTTATTGGAATATGTTTCACAAAATTTGCAAGAGGTGAGTTATTATTCTTTTTTTTCTTCTAATGATTATTATTTAATAAAAAGTTCATTTTCCCAAAGGTGGAGTGAATTTGCACTTCTAGAAGTTCTAAAAGCATTATAAACAGTTTACGAACAGAAGACTCAACTGTGATAATTATATTTGTTGATTTAAATACAGTAATGAAAGTACTATACTTATATGTGCGGTCAGAGCTTATCCTAACACGACCACTGAAAGGAAATGAAAGTCAAATCAGGCAATATATTGACATGTTATAAGTGTTTAGGTGAGCTGAAGCTACTTTGAAGGTAACGTGACAGATTAAGTTATATTTTAGATCACGGGTTATTTGTAAAGATTGCATTATTGCATTAAATAGAAGGTTGCTTACGGTGTCCCACCACTGAGAGTCCCACCGCTGGCTCAAAACTTTTAGCTCAACTTCGATGATTAAATCCAAAACAAACGTCAGTTTTTTATACATATATATACTTTTTTTTGTGCGTGTGTGGTTTTGCCTAAATAATGTAATGTATTTCCTATGACTTAATATTATTAAAAGATGGAAATCTAAATGCTTTTGTCAACAAGGGCTGTTTGCTTTACAACAGTTTCTAAGCGAGATGAAACTCAAGGATTGATAGGATTTAGGGGCATCGGAATGAGCATTTTGTGCCACTTTTGTTCTGTTTTGTCTGCTGTAATAAATATGGGAAGATTACATTTTAACTTTTGGGAACTGGAATTTAATATTTAACTTGCTAGGTGTATTTAATCCCTGCGATGGAAATCTAAATGCAGTTTTACACGTTCTTAGTTTATTTTTTATTTTTTATTAGAAGAACAAAATCAGTGATTTAGATATATAGTGGTATTCCTTGACTTTTATTTATTTATTATTTTCTAACCAAATATAAACACAGAAATCCATCCATTTATGTCAAATATTTCATTTAAATCAGTTAATTAGTTCTCCATCTGAACAATTATGGCTGTTACCTATAAAATTAAATCAATGTTAAATACAAAAGTATCTGTAAATAATACATACAATATCATAACTCAATAAACATATGTTAGATCTTAATAGATTAATTCATTACAGTTTTTTTTATTATTATTATTTTTCCACGTCCAGTAGCATTTTTGTCCCAAGCCCTTAATTCTTGACGCAGACAAGGGCTAGGTGATATGGCCAAAAAAATATCACAATAAAAATGTTCATATTAGTCGGTATCGATAATTATCACGAAAAATGTCCAATCTTTCATTTCTTTCAAGTTTAAAGGCAGATTTCTTCTGAGTGAAAGTTGTAGAAACCATAGAAACCAGACAGTTAACTGTGAGTTTTAAACTTTTCTTTTTTTGGTCAGAACATGACAAACACTTGCCAAACAGGTGAACATTTCACAAATCTGAGGTACAATATTCAAAACTTATAGTAGTAAATTATTTCTTTCAACATCAAAATATGCAAGAGTAAACCCTGAAAAAACTGAAAAAAGTTAAACCCTTTTTCAGTATTTTTTTCCTTAAAATATCTTAATAGAGAAATTAATTTCTTAGTTTCTGCATGTTCTAATGGGTGACATTGTTTCAAATCATGAAAAAGGTTTGTGTTCCCTGACTTTGATAGCGTGATGCAGATGTAAATTTATGTTCATTAACAAAAACTGTAACATCAGTAAAAATTGTAACAACCTCATATTTATAGGGTAAAATGTAAATATTCTGACTGTTTGAGTTAAGACTCTATTTATTATTTAAATTAACCATTAGTCATATATAGTATCACACAATTAGATCATGATAACCAAAGGTAAAATCATACATATCACCTCACTACCATGGTAAAATGTAACTATATGGTGGTATTTGTATGAAAAACAGTAACCTAAATACATTTAGTATAAATACAAATACACAAATGCTATAACTTAATAACAACCTTTATTCCTTTAATACATTTAACACGTCTACATTAATAATATAATAAAATCCAATAGGTATATCCCACATTTCTGCCACAATACCATGGTGCAGTTAGTGTTACTACAGTAAATCCATGGTAAATTCATGTAAAAGCCTTCTAATGGGATTGTTCATGGCACAGTGTTTCTCGTGTTTGTCAATGCTGTTGAGAACGTCAGCGCTGTTTCATCCAACGCTCTCTCATGACCAATATGTATGTATTTTACAAGGTGGCTAATTCATACGAATTCGTACGACCTCACTTGTACGATTTCTGTGAGGGGTAGGTTTAGGGGCGGGGTTAGGGGTGGTCCTTTGGACGAATTCCTACGAATTTGCCACCTCGTAAAATATGTATGAATTGTCGTGAGAGGTTTCATCTGTCTTTAAACTAAATCACAGACATTTGTGTTCTTTGTTGCTTCTCGTTGGATCTCATAGCACTGGTGACATGATCGAGACCAATCAGTAAGTAAACACATTATTGTTTTATCGCCCATGCAGCCCTAACCCTGACTAGAACAAATTTCATTCCAGCATATACAATTCTGATATTTTAGGT